CTGGGGACAGAAGGGCCAGGTGTGGAAGCCCAACGCATTGGGGGGCGGGGGCAGGCTGACCCAGGCTCAGGATTGGGCCTGGTCCCAGGGTACCCAGTGCCTGAGCAGTCCCCTCACTCATGGGAGGACCTTCTAAGGGGAGCAGAGAGCAGGAACAAGGATTCCTCAGTGAGTCAGCAGGATCATTCCCCAGAGGTCCCCAGGCCTCATCCTAACCTCCAAGCTCCTGTCTCCTGCACCTGAACTAGATTCTCCACAGCAGGTTGGGACACAGCCAACCACCGGGCATGGCCACTGACTCCTAAGCAGACTGTTTTGCATAAGGGAAGGAGGGACATCATTGAAGAATTTATAGGAAGTCATCATCATGAGAGGGGAGGCAACATTGCCCAATTTCCTGCTGGCTCATTTCATGGTGGTCACCATCCCTGAGTACAGACAGTGGCTTCCTTGGTGGGCTCAGGCAGTCCATGGAGCTGCATAGCGAAGTTATAGAGTGTGGGGCTAATGCCAGAACTCAGAACTCTGACCTTGTCTCTTCCCTCACCTGTAGGTGAGGTGCTATTCACTCTGTGCTACCTGTCACAGTGGGTCATGCCAGCTCTTTCTCTCCTAGCATTTCAGTGAGGACCCCAGATGAAGATGGAACTTGCGTGACCCTGCTTCCCTCCCCTGAACTTCAAGTTCACAGGCCCTGCAGTGACCCCAGAGGTCTAGTAGTGGGGTTAGGAGGGAGCTTTTGAATCAGGCTTTTCTAGGTCATCTCTTGAGCTTGCTGTCTATTAGCATTGTGCACATAGGAACTTAGCTTACCTCTTACTCCCTCAATTCCCTGTCCTCAACATGAGGGTAACAGCACCAGCTCATAAGGTTTTGAAGGTTTAGGAGGAATGTCAATATGACAGGTTAGGTGATGCGTGGTGTACATATGGACTTATAAACCACTGGTGAGAGTTTTTGTTAGATGTCAGACAAACTAGTAGAATGTGATGAGCAAACATAGAGGATGCTGCCTTAAGAGACCTATCCTCTTTAAGTTCAGAAACCCAGATTCTCTACCATGATTGCTGTGCTTTTAAGACAATCCCATTGTCTTCCCCTCCCCAGCCCTGGATTTCCTTAGCCACAGAATAATCCTCTAGCATAGTGCAATCCCTTGGGAGTTGCCTGGCATTATGCAGGAACGTGATGAACACACTCTTCTAGGTGTGTCCCACCCACCTGAGTCAGGCAATGGTCCAGGAAGCAGAGAAACAACATGGCCTCAGGGCTCCCAGTGCCTGGGAGGAGCCAGACTGAGCCTTATAAAGGGACCAGTCTTTGCCCAGATGCACAGCACACTCACCTTCTCCTCAGTGACACCTCGTCAGCCCTGGTAAGTCTGCACCTAACTGTTTGCCAGGGGGGTTTGTCAGGGACCAGTGTGTTCTTCTGTGTCCAGGAATAGGGAGAGCGGTGATGGGAGCAGATTCAGGAACCTGTATCCAGTCTCAACTCTGCCTGTTATGTGTCTTTCCAACTTGAACCCACTTGGTCCCAAGGGCCGATCTACAACAAGATGTCTGTACTGATGCTCTCATTGCTCCTTTGGCTCTTTTGTGCCAATTCTGTTGAAGCATCTCTGGTGGGAGCTCAGTATATGAACCTTCCTCTCTTCCTTGTCTTCTTTCATCTCTGGAATCATCTGACTCTCAGGCCATGGACTTCGCACCCCAACCTCAGGAGAGTGGGTGGCTCTCCCAAAGTCTGGAAGATTCTCTGAAACACAGGCCTGGGATGCCCACTCACTTTGCCCGGGTGAGGAGGCTAGCCAGTACGTGATTCAGTGACCCATAAACTAAGGTTTTGGACCTCGTGCCCAGCTGAGGGAATGACCAGTGACCTTCTGTGCACAGGGCTCAGCTAAGGCCTTGGCCAAGTTGACAGATGGCCTTAGGTGTTTGCACTTAGGGACATAACAGGGAGGATCTTTCTCCCAGATTAGGAGACAATGGCAGTTTTTGTTAGATGCCCACACATTGGAGCCATACACATTTCTTGTGAGTTTTGGAAAGTCTGAGATGTGAGAACTGCACTGTCCCATTTCTCTGCTTGGGGTCCAGACTGTTGGTAGAGATACTGGTTTTGGGAAGTCAGACCTCTTTACTTAAATGTGGTCTAGCCTTGGGGTTCCAGAGAGCAGGGAGGTACAAAGGTCATCTGAAGGAGCCTATCTCCCCACTTTCCACCCATTAGCCTAAAACTGAGGTAGGTATTTCTGTTCGTTTCAGACATGATGCCAAAACAGGTCAGCAGTCCCTCTTTCCCACTGGTGGGGATGGTTCAGGAAACCTTGTGGGAGCTCAGGACAGGGCTGTATATCTCTGCTCACACTCAGCTTCCTACTCACAGTGACCGCTGGGAGTCTCTAGGGCCTGTTTCATTTAGAGCTTGCTTTATGTTCACAATGGGCACCTCAGGGGTCTCGTTCTAATAACAGCTCAGGGTGGGTCAGGCCAGATTAGTCAGGAAGTTATTTTGTCCTCATGATTCTAACCCTGATGGTGACCCTGGAGGAGATGTTGTTGATGCTCTTGAAGAGTAGAGTCATCCAAATGCTGTGTTTGGCTCAGGTCCCAACTAAATTTCAATAATTTTCCGTGTGGTTGACCCCTACCTTCTCTGCTTCTGCCTCCTGTGGTTCTGTCCACAGTGGGCTTCTCTGTTCTCCTCCATCTCTTCTAGACCCTGACCTGCATGGGACTAGGCCCCAGTCTTGGTCACACTCTCCTCCTTATGAGCTTCGCATCCCACCTCCTAGGCTGATACAGCTCTTTCTGTTCCACCTGAGCCTCACTTCACTCAGGTCCCACCCCATTGTCCTGACATAGGGACCCTCACCTGGGGGGAAGGATAACAAAGGTCCCCGTCTTTCTCTCTGGCAGCTTCCTTGAAAACCAAGATGAGCCACACTCCAGTTGAACAGTCCGTGGAGGACTTGATCGTCCTGTTCCACAAATACACCAAACCTGATGACAAGATTGACAAGCCGGGCCTGCTGAAGATGCTGAAGGAGAATTTCCCTAACTTCCTCAAGGCTTGTGTGAGTCTGGGTGACTTCTCAAGGTCCTGCAATAGCAGAGGACGCTTTGCTGTGGGATCTTGGTCAAGTCAACCCCATTCTCTCATCCTCAGTATTCTCATCTGCAAAAAGGCCTAAGAGGACTTTCCTGACTTATTATCAGGATGAAAGAGATGGTACAGATGGCCAAGTGTAAAGGCATCTGGAGATCAAGGGTAGTTATCAGGTGTTCAAATAGGAGAGTAAAGAACGGGTCCCCTCCCACTTGTCACTCTACATCTAGGACACTGAAGCCTCTAGAAGCCGCCATTAGGTTCTCTGAGATCCAAGGGAAGGTGATAGAAATCCTATGGCTGATAAAATTTAATACCTTTCATAACAATGAAAAGCTCATTCATAGACCTGACTTAGTCTGATAGTTAGAATATATTGAACTGATTACAAAAAGAGAGG